TTTAATTTTTTCAATTGACCTAATCCTTCCAGCCGCACTGGGTCCTAGGGTTTACTCAGCCTCTAACAGAAATGAGTACCAGGAATTAATTAAATAATTTGTCTGGGGAGTAAAACTTGGCTGACGCATAAGGCTGACAACCTTACCGCCATCTTTGAGCCGACTGTCTAGATAATGTGGGACCCTCAACGTCTCGCAACCCTATGGGCCTTCAAGGCCTGGTACAGGGATAGCTTTACTTAACTTTTACCTAACAGTATCACAATTTTGAGAACAGACAAAAATCAATTTAGGAAGGCTTTACTAAGATATCTGCTGAGAAATTCTTTTTACTCTATCGATGAATTTATAGAGCATACAAGAGTTACAAAGATAGAGGGTAAATATATAGTACGTGTATTGTAAGTTACTCCCTTTGGTTGGATTTAATACAGGCTGTACTGATTAATTTAACACTTGACAATTCTAGTCAGTTAAGGATGAGAATGGACTTAACATGTATTTTTCTAAATGGGAAAACTGGACTGACAACTTGTGCTCTTTGCATGAGGCTCTATTTACCTTATATATATTTTAATATACTACTCGTATATCTTAAATTTTATATGTTATATGTATTGCATGTCATCTTTTATGTAAGACTTTGTATGTGACAAATTTCATATCCAGCACTACTGGGTAACAACCGGATCTATGGAAAGTAATTACAAATAAATAAACAAATAAACATGTTTCAGTTTAACTGGCCATCTGCAGGTGTACTCAGGGTAACCCACATAACCAAAATAATCAGAGGCAACTACAACTGGAGGAAAGAAAACTGCATTACAGTGAACAGCAAAATCCTTAATCACAACAACCTGTACACCTGAAGATGGCCAGTTAGGCCGAAACATGCAGTGCTCAATAAAGAAATACGAAGAAAGAATAATGAATGATGTTGCACACAGACGGCACAAAAGCTCCAAAGTCATAAAATCAGTAATTTTGTATTAATATCATAGAACTGAGCTGTTAACTTGATACATTCAGAAACATCATGTAAGAAAATAAGACGGTTATTTTCATTTGGAAGGATACAAAGAAATATGCTCGTCGGAAGTCCTCCGATGACAGAGAGCGATGAAAACCCTTATAAGCTGCTGGACTGAATGTGAAGTCATGCAGCTGAAACAGAGAAGTGATGAAGTTACAACATGTGGTGAAATTTCTGTTTTAAAACAAATATAATTTTTACAAAGATCTAAAGACTTTACTCTCTAGAAATAGAACTCAAAGCTCCGTATCACCAACATCAAATCCTACCACCACATTGGATCCTGAACCAGTTCAATTCACCTCTCATTTTCCCCAAACTACATTCCAATTCGTCAGAAACACCTCAAGTTTGCTATCGTAACAAGATTACATGAAATGTACTAATCACGAAGTTGGTCCATAAATAATATTCCAAATTTCATATTCACTTTATTATCATTAGACAAAAAATATTTTCCTAGGTATCTTCTAGCAGCACCCATACCTTATTTTCTTCCACTAAAGTAAGAGACCATGTTTCACAACCAACAGTGGATTAAAGATACAAGATACTGGCAGAATAGTTCTTCTCACATCAATACCTTGTTCTTCGAAGAGTCCACAGAGTGCAGCTCAAGGAGGAGCCAGCAGAACATATTGAGGACGAGAGCTAAGATGAAGAGGCCCTCATGGCTTGCTGACAGGAGAAGGAACGAAATAACAAGGGACAGACACACACTGTAGAGACGTGACAGGACTCGCTGTGAGCTGAGCAGTGGCAGGAATAAAGACATTCCTGAAATGTAGCAATCATAACTGTAATCATCAACAACTAGATGCATCTTTCAGAAAAATACTCCATCCATTTCTCGGCAAATCAATGTGTTTGCATCTTATTTTTAGTTTCTTAGCAATATTTTCAGCAGCTCAGACCCTAAGTGTCCAGTAGTTGGATGATTAATGAACTAGACAGAACACAGAAGGAAGAAGTTGTGGTCTAATTTGAGGAAAACAACTTAAACCTCAAACAAAATAGATAGCCTCCGGGCTGATATTTAACTTGAGACTCCAAAATATGAAGGAATATGAACACACGTAGCAATCAAATAAAACAGGATACTTAAAACTACATTAAAATGCAAAAGAATAGGATAAGGAGACTGTATTTGGGAGGGCCTTGCTTAAAATCTCAGTCAGGGCACTGATAATCCTGCGTGACATTCCTCGCTGCTTTCCTCAGTCCCTCCAGGCAAATGCTAGGAGAGTATCTTAAATTAGGTCAAAACAATGCCCTTCCACATCCTAATTCATTATTCACCACCACATAATCACTGAACTCTATACAATCTCAGCTTTTGACGTTATTTCGCAAAACAAACAACCAGATATGGAAAAGATGGATCAGTGAATATGGTATAGGCCATAATGCAGAAGAAGGTTACTGCCTTCTGGGAATGTGATACCTTGATAGTCTGATGGACAGTTAACAATATTTGAGAGGGGCCTGCTGCCCCCATCTTCACTCCATTCTTTTATCCTGAAGATGGAGGTAGTAAATTCCTTCAAAAGGTTGGCAAACACCCACATGACTACAAAGTGTTGTGACTGCCATGAAAACCTCAAGTATCACATTCACTTAAAAAGGTAAACCTAACCATGTAACAGACTGTGAAGCCCCACAGGGTTGTGAGACGTTGAGGCTCCCACATTTTATAGACATCTGACTCACAGATGGCAGTAAGGTTGTCAGCCTTATGCACCAGTTGCCCTTTACCCCCAGAAAGATTCCTGGTACATGAGTTGAACCCAGGGCCATTATGCAGCTGAAAGGATTAGGTCAACTGAAAAATCCAATGACCTCATCAGGAATTGAACCCACAACCTTCTGACTTGTAGCATAGTGCCTCAACCAACTACACTACCACGTGTCCTGACCACATTCACTTACCAAGCACTGACCAGGAGACAATCTGATTGACCCATGGGAGACCCTGCTTGCTCTTTATACTGTTTGCAGTACTGACGAAGTCCCATATTGCAGTTGGTAGCATAATGAGCTGGATTATCAGAACACAGGAGTGAAACCTGTCCTTGCTGTTGAGAGTATGTGTGTTAAGTCTCCACGCACAATAAACAGCTAACACCAGGAACAGCCAACCCGACAATGCCCTGATGCAACAGACATTACATATTACGAACAGTAACAGCAACAAAAATACACAGCACATGGTTGCAAATAAAGTGTTGTTCTTTTGCCCAACTAATTTTAAACTGTGATGTTATGATCCATATTTAACACTATTTCCATGGTTTATGCTGACCGTCTTACAGTGTATACACTTTTTCACCTTATTCTTCACTTCCACACTACATGTTTCAGCACTAATGTGCCATCTTCAGGTGTCTTTATGCACGTTAAACTACTGTACTGCATGCCATAATGTCTTCATTCTAAAGGACTAAACATATTAAACACAGGACATGCATATGGTACTATAGAAAACACTATGGATATCATAGCAACAAATAAGAAAGGACAATACTTAAACACATTGGAAAACTATCATATACACAGAACGACAAAGAAAAACACACATATGAACAATATAAACAAATATATATATAACCCAATATTTCACGAATTACATACTATTTACACAGAACAGCATAACAACAGCCTACCTCCTACCCCCACATCATCATAACACAACCAAAATGAAGACAGCGCACGCACACACACACAGATCAAGCAGTACAACGCATGCAGTAACAGGAGCAAAACACAACACAGAACACAGTGAGTATTCAATATTATAAAGCCACATGAAACAGATAAAAGTCAGAAAGTGGTATTAATGAATAACAATTTCATGTTACAGATACACAAATATATGTAGGAAGAATGCTCACATAAAAGAGGATTGGCGTAATTCGCATGTTTGAGTGTGACGTAGGAAGAATCCTGAAAAGTTTATTATTTAGAATTCATCGTCCTATATGACGAATACAGATTTTAGTCATTTAGAATGAAGACATTATGGCATGCAGTACAATAGTTTAACGTGCATAAAGACACCTGAAGATGGCACATTAGTGCTGAAACATGTAGTGTGGAAGTGAATAAGGTGAAAAAGTGTATACACTGTAAGACGGTCAGCATAAACCATGGACATACATCAGTGTAACAGGACGCTAAAATATAACATTGTTAACACTATTTCTGTGATATTTGGCTAAAGTCCAACAAGGAGCCACATTTCAATTTTGTCTATATCAAGAAAAATCATTTTCTTTCACTGTGTCATTTGACTTCAGTTACTGGACTATGAAAATGAAGTTTTGTGTTTTTTCTTCATATTTTTGCCTTCAAATTGCATTATTGTGGGAAAATGGTGAAATTTATACACATCAAAAGGGTTAAGTAAAACAGTATGTTCCTATACCAACTGTGAACCAAAGAAGTTTCCGTAGGAACACAACTCCACTCACTAGAAAAACAGGATCTGTATCATGGAATTTTACAACATGGCCAAATTTTCAAGAATACATTCCTTCTGTAACTTGGGAGCATGCTCTATTGTTATTCATCTGGCAAGGCTGTGCCATAGCTCATGCGGTTAAGTCCCTGCCTTCCCACTGCGGCAGCCCAGGTTTGATCCCGGGTCTGGTCAAGTAGGATCTGTGGTGGACAAAGTGGCGCTGGGGCAGGTTTTCTCCGAGTACTTCAGTTTCTCCTGCCAATCTTCATTCCACCAATTGCTCCACAATCACCCTCACCTATAATCTGGGGCTGGTACAATAGGCCAGAAGTGTCTGCAGTACAAGGGACTTAGTCCCACCCCACTAGCAATAAAAAAAATATTCATCTGGCAAGAATGATCAAAATTGCAAAAAATAAGAAGAACCCTCAGTGAAGTTCAAATCAGATACTCCTTGAATAAAAGTCTGAAGTAATACCAACTTCCGCATTTCTGTGCATGGGAAAGAACACAAAAGAAGCAAAACTGTTTTCAAATATCAGAGTCTAAGAGGATTTTATATTCTATTTTGTAGAATTTAAACAGATCTACTTAGAAATTTAGGATTTTACTTACACAAGTTGTGTGTTGGGTTCTCTTCCTACAACAGGAAGCAGAGGAAACACTGCCAGAAACAGACAAGAGGTCAACCAGCCTGCGAGAAGTGGCAAATGAACTGGTTGGGCTAGCGGAAAGACAATGGGCCAAACTGCTATGCCCAGCATCCCAATACTCAGAAAAGAACGGTAGAAGAAAGACACAACCTTGAAATATGAACACACATTTTAATAACACTGTTCTTCAGACACTTTTAGCATTTACATAAACATGTACATCTGTACGGCAAGAATGTGTACACAGTAATATTTTTAACATCTATTACATAATAATAATAATAATATAAATTTTGGATGCCATGACAGATATTGCAAGATGTAGAACTAACTGTGCTATAGAACTCTGTTTGCTTGGTGCAGGAGTAACAACATGTTAAAAGTAAACATGACTATATCTTTGGACATCTCCCAACACAGCCAGTGTTTCCAAAGACAGTGTTTATATGACACGAAGCAATATTCTCCATCACAGCAAGAACTTTCCACCAGTCACCACAGTTTCCCCTGTGCTTAATTAATTAAGCACCACATTATGATTATGTAATGAGAAGTGGAGATATAGCTACATCATTCAAGAGACTTGCAAGGGATGTAGATGAGTGGTCAGCTTCATAGCCCAGATCCTTCACCTCCTGGGAAAGAGCTCCCAGTACGCATTGGATAGGTTGAGTGGGCCCCAGAGCCAGTCTGGATGCCATGGAAGAGAGAAAAATCCCTGTCCCTGTAGGGAATGGAACCCAGGCCATCAAGCCCACAACTCACTGTTATACCAACTGAGATATCTGCGCTCCCACCAGCCAAATCAGTTAAAAAAGAAAAGACTGATATTGTTTTTCATCATAGCGCATCATACGCTGACATTTGGTGAATAATGTTCTTGTTCATTAACTGGAATACATGGTAGCCATGCATGTTAACTTCCACATACATGAAACACTGCTTCATCAGCAAACAAATTTGCTGAGATAGGTCATGTCCTGTTTGATATGGGAAACCAATTCTAAAGCAGACTGTTCTCTCACATCCTGATCTCTGTATGTCGTCTTCCAGACCAAGTCAAGCCTGTAAGCATGATATTTCAGTTGTTTGTACAAAACACCATGCACAGATCCACATGCCAAGCCTAATCCTAAACTTGCTTGGTAAAGAGACTTGCAAGGGCTGCTCTGACATGTTTTGTGTATACATTTGTCATTGTCTTGGGTCACCATACAGCGTAGGGGCCCATTGCAAGGCACTATGTGCTCTTTCAGGTGCTTGTCTAAAGGCATCACAGATCTGTAAATCGCCTTAATGTCTGTTTTCATTTTGCATATAGAATATTTTATTTTACTGACATTTAGGGCTGGATACCCCTTAATGTAACAAGGTACAACATTAACATGATCAAGACAGGGCTAAGGATCATATAAGGCATACATACAGTCATTACTTACAAGTACTTCAATTCCTATAATATGGAAGACAAAGAACATCAATAACCTTCGTAGACCCATTGAGCTCCTGACATGAGATATGGCTGCCATAAGTGCAGCCCAGTGTCGAGCTACAGCCCACCAGATTAACTCGGGAAGCAGAAAGTATATATAGAATTGAAGGGGTAACATTTGTACTGGAAGAAAAAGCAGAGTTTACATTAGTCTAAATTGAGTCTTCAACAAAATGGATAAGACTGAAAAACAGTGGGTAAATATGAATTCTGGACAATATTACAATTTTACTTACTGCAAGTCAGAGCCATAGTCAGAATAACTAGGAACAAAAAGGCAATGTTCACCCAGCAGCCCCCTCTGAATAATCTAGAATGAGTGAAGGTCAAAAGCTCATGCTCCTGATATACTTCATCATGTTGGACATGAAGAAATGAAGGGCTCTTTTTATGCCTGCTGTCATCACCAACTAGGGAGTGAAGAAGCCAGGCAATCCAACCAAGAAATGCAAGAGTTAC